TCCTCATGTACTCACAAAAGCTCCTTCACAACCAGGGCCCCCCCCCCCTACCTCACAGACCTGCTGCACCACCACACCCATTCCCGCTGCCTCCGCTCATCATAAGCCAACCTCCTATCCATCCCCACCCGCACCAATCACCGGACCTGGGGGGACAGAGCCTCACTCCCACAACCCATCAGAGACTGCACCGACCTCACCACCTTCAAAAAAAAAAAAATCACAAAAACTCACCTCTTCAATCTGGCTTTTAATGTGTGATTTTTTTTATATTATTTGACTTTAACTACTGTATATATTTATTTGTTGTTCCTTTCTTCTCTTTACTATTATCTGTAATGCGTCTTTGAGCACCTGTAAAAGCGCTAACAAATTAAATCTATTATTATTATAGAATGTATGAAAGTTCAAACAGAGAAAAAGATCTGAATTCATTAGCTAATAAGCCAAACACATTTGTGAATATCTTTCTAAAAGATACAAATAGGCATTTCTAAATCCAGCTTTTATTTGCGAATTGAAAAGGCATTGTGGATTGATTTCTTTTTTTTTTATAAATATGAAATATTCATTATATTTATATATTTAAAGAGTTTTAAAAAGTGCCAGTCCTATCAAAATGTTGATGATGTGATTCTCTGCACATCTACAGTATCCTGTGAACTGTGTCCTGCCCAGCTGGCTGATAATAGACTGATGGTCCCTGAAAGTGCTGAAAACATGAGCCAAAGAGCAAAGGTTCAGGAAGTATGTCAGGAGGAATTAGCCATTGGTTTTCGTGTTGCGACAGAGACTGAAACTTTTTTGAGTGTGGACCAAAGTCCAGACTTTTTCCGCGACAAATTGTAACTTATTTTTGTATTGAATTTGAGTCATGTGATTGCTAGTGAGTTCGACTTCAAGAAACGTACCTTGATCTCATCAATTTCATCTGGAACGATCTTGTAGGCTGCTATGACTCCTCCCAGCCTGCAGGGTGAGACAGAGTCAGTGTGATGGCAGAGGACACGCATGTGTACTGTATGTCAACCATGCAGACCATATTCTATGGGGCCAGATCAGCCTCAACAATAATCTATGCACAAAGAATGACTTCAAAAATAGATTTTGTTTCCATTTAAAATGACTATAAAATAAGATGTTTCAATGCACAGGAAGAAAGTGATTACAAATGTCAAAGAAATCCATATAGAAATACATTTGCAAAACCTTTTTTATATGATGTCAAATATTTATCATCCTAAATAACATACACTGAACAAAAATATAAACGCAACACTTTTGTTTTTGCTCCCATTTCAGGGTCCGAAAACCAGTCAGTATCTGGTGTGAGGGTGAGGGTTAGGGTTAGGGTAATGTTGTGAATCGAGTGGCCCATGGTGGTGGTGGGGTTATGGTATGGGCAGGCGTATGCTTTGGAAGATGAACACACGCCTAATCCTAACCCTCACACCAGATACTGACTGGTTTTCGGACCCCCCCAATAAAGCAAAAATGCATGTTTCAGAGTGGCCTTTTATTGTGGCCAGCCTAAGGCACACCTGTGCAATAATCATGCTGTCTAATCAGCATCTTGATATGCCACACCTGTGAGGCTTTAATATACGGTTGTAAAGATATTTTTTTATGTAGTTGTAGTCTTACACTAAATGTAGTTGTGAAGGCTGATTCCACGTTGAGCGACACGATCTATAAGACACCCTAAATTTTACACAACAAATTTTTACACGTGTTTAACACTACATTTATGGTACTATCTGGCTACAAAATAAACTCAAAACGAGACACAAGAACAAGGGACAGACATTGAAACACACCCACCACAAGGGGTGAGAACTTCTCTAGATGTAGAGACTCTTATCTCTGAACACCAGAGTACTCTAGAGGTGACATAGTGGTCTTTCGATTTATTTTTTAGATATTGCAGGGTCATTTGAGGATCGACTGGAGTGAGAGAGTGTGTTCCATTTTTTCGAGATTTATACAAAAAACTAATGCAACGTTAAAATTATGTATGAGTGACTTAGTGCTTATATTTGCTTGTGAAAACAAAACGAGGATAAAATAGGTATCTCTACTTGACTTTCTAGATTTTGTAAAAGATAGTATAATGTGTTTATGGGTAAAGAGAAGTTTATAACAAGTGTGTAGACTTATATATAGAACACTATCACCTTCCGAAGAGGAAACGCTCTA